ATAAATTTTGAAAAAAATCAATATCTCCGTTATTCTTGAACTTAAAGCAACCAAATTTGGTACAATTTCTAGATGTATTCAGGGCGTTACTTGACAGTAACTAGAGCTCAATTGAAATTTGTAAAGAGGGTATACCGGGTGGCGCACCATTAATATTCAACAGAATTTTGTTAACCCTTGATGGATTTCGAAAATCTCTGCTTTGTTGTGTGGGCAATTCAATTCTAAAACTCTTCTTACTCCAGTAATTTTTCGAAAAAACCTCATCATTTTCATCAAGAACTCGAATAACTGAAAACGCGCGCTCTAGGTGTGTTATTTAAAATCATCGAAAATTCAAAAGTTGGCTATGAAAATAAACGTACAACAAGAAAGTAGGTCATTAATTGTGATCAGTAGAAATTGGCTGGCAAATTATTATTTAAATACGTAACAAAATACGTAAAGTAAGTACAGATACTGAAATGTGAAAAACTGGGATTAACAACTAACCAAAATAAACACAAAAAACTTTAACAACAACCGGAACAAACAATTGTTTATCGATAAATTACTTAATTGAACAACTTACTCGCTTCATTGTCAAGTTCGACGTTTATTTTCATAGCCAACTTTTGAATTTTCGATGATTTTAAATAACACACCTAGAGCACGCGTTTTCAGTTATTCGAGTTTTTGATGAAAATGATGAGGTTTTTCGAGAAATTACTTGAGTAAGAAAAGTTTTAGAATTGAATTGCCCACAAAACAGAGCAAAGATTTTTGAAATCCATCGAGGGTTAACAAAATTCTGTTGAATATTAATGGTGCGCCACCCGGTATACCCCCTTTACAAATTTCAATTAAACTCTAGTAACTGTCAAGTAACGCCCTAAATACCACCACAAAGTGTACCAAATTTGATTGTTTCAAGTTCAAGAATAACGGAGATATTGATTTTTTTCAAAATTTATGACTTCACTTTCAAAGCCTATAACTCCTTAGGAAAGCAACTTGGTATAGAGGTAAGTTGCGTTAAATTGACATATTTTGGGACCCCCTACATGCCTCTGAACTATGTTGGTTCTTATGTGAATCACCCTGTATATTGAAATAATACGAATACTTTTATTTTATAGAAACGTGGAGAGGAAATCCCAAAGAATCAAGTAAAATGAATGTTCAATTTGTTGATTTTAACAATTAGTCAACACAATCATCATCATCATCATCATAGTGCAAACCAAGCCATATAAAAATCGTCTTACTTTTAGATGCCTGCATCACATTTTATCCTAGCTAATCTTCAAACTAATGGAATATTTCGGAGTTCAGAGTAAATCCTACTAAACCTAATAAATAGTTATTTCGAATCATGGCATTCCTTGCACCATCTTGCACATAAGATCATCAAGTATTTCATAGAGATCTGGCAACTGCGGCGTGCTTCCCAGCCGTCACAAACTCCAGCCAATCAAATTGCAAGGATAACGTTTGAATAGAAATTAGGCAACACTGTACGTGTGTGAACATCGTTCCTTCTGGACACTTGTAGGATAGGTGAAAGTAAAAAGATTTAATTTTAAGAGGAACAAATGTTGTTGAGGAAAAACATACCAATAAGGCCATGTGAAAATCACATTATAAAAATATTAACAACTTATCAAAAAATTTTGAACAGCCTTTGAAATCACAAGATTCATATATTCCGTTGAATAGAATCGTTTAGATAGTTCCTGGATATATTGCCTGTGTATATTAAATCTTTTTACAGGTACTGTGTACTAATGTGTCTGAAGATAGCTGTTTGAGCCGAAACTAGTCACAATACATTTCGTGTAATATAATTTTTGTGGTCGAACGATTTGGTGTATTTGTTTATCTTTCAAAAAAATTGGACCATTTTGAGAAGGAAGAAAATATTGGGAACATTATTATTTATTTTCAAATTCATATGATCTGAATAAAACAATGATACTTTTTTTCTGCTTCTAAAGAAAAACTCACAAGTTGTATGCCTTTCAGAGGTCATTTTTTGCGAGATTTTTTGTTCATGATTTCCAAATTTTAAGCTTTATGTCTCAGGATGTTTTTAGATGACATCAATAGTTATCCACATGTCTGCCTTGTCTTGTCAAACACTTTGAATTAATATAAAATATCGCGATAGAAGAATCAATATTACAATTCAACAAAGTTTATCTAAATTCCCAATATTCAATATTCTCTGAAGATTTTTGAAAAGTGGATCAGGTCAATGGTAAAACAGAGTAGTATAGTATTTATTGTGCCAATGAATCCAGTCTTATCTCAAGAATATTGTTGAACATATTTCATCAATTTTACATTTCAATTATAGCCATGATAAAATACAATGATAGCCACTTAACTCTTGGCATTATTTATATTAACCTACGCACATGCTGAGATAACCAGAAAAATAAGATATTTTATGTTTTAATGTTCCTTATTAAGTAATGATGAACAAATAATCAAAATAATTGTGAAATCAGCTGCCATTCATGATATTTATCTTGTCTAATATTCACCTTCATATTTTCTAGTATTTATAAAAAGGAAACTTGGAAATTTAATGATATTAATGAAGAAAATAGATAGATAGGTACTGATCAAGATTTCAACTGTAACATTTCTCTTTGGTGACCAGAACATATATCTCAAATAGGTATGTTCTGAAACCAAAATACATTTGATACATTCTTCACTTCCTTTTTGGAAAATAATTAGGTGTGATTTTTTGTGAAGCTTGCTTCTCCTTTTGCTGATGCTAATCTCTCAACAAGCACACATCATTTGACATAATATATTGAATGAACATCAGTTATTTTGTAATACCCCAATTTACAACTTTCTATTATATGAACGGCCATCAATTCCATGACACAGATATTGTTGGCATAGGTGTTACTTTTATTAAAATTTTCTGATGGTGTTGAAAATCACTACCTATAATTTTATCAGTGTACTAAAAGGGAATAGGATGTTATTGATTCTAGGTACCGATTTACAATCTTTAATTATTCACCATGAGCCACAAACAAAATTTATTGCTAGATTCTAAAACTAGAAATTACCTAACAATATCATGGCAAACTTTTTAGTAGATATTTGGTAGGTATATTTGATTATTTGAATTCGTCAACCAATGAACTCTTGAGGTTCATTTCATTACATTAAATACCTACAATATACCAGTCCAATGATATTCTAGTAGAGGTAGGTAGGTAGGTATACAATAATTATTGTAGCATGTAATTAAAGCTAATACTTATTTACTCCATATTATTCTATTTACAAAACAAAAAATAGGTTAGGGGATTGGGAAGTTTGTAAATTAGAAAAACACATCTCCCACCGGGGTAATTACTAAAATAATCTATTCTTATCGGGTACTACGTTTTCATTTTTATTGATATTTGATAATGACGAACCTTACAGCTTACTATTGAAACACTCCCATTCCATTCCCAACAAAACAATGGAAAATTTCCAAGACCTCAGTTTATGTACAATCATCAAAATGTGTCTTGAACATGCGCCAAGGTCGATAGAGTTCAAGAATGAACTGGCGAGCCATTTCAAGTGAAAATTGAAACCAAGAGCAAATTCCACAATTTGAATCTATGTAATATAATATGAATTGCGCATCATTTAAGTACATCAAAGATAAGAATGAAATATTCAATTATTCCAACAACCTTACAACACAAACAAAACAAATTTAAATTTGACCTTTCCACGTCTACGGAAATTGTTGACAAGATACAAAAACTAAACATGACGTCTAATCTTAGAACATTTTTTACAGGCCTGGATGAGATTATATTTTTGTACCATGAATTTTTACTTACTTATTACTCATTATGGCTGGCATAGCTTCGTCACTACTAGAGAGAGCCTCAGAGGCACTAATAAACATAATTAAAATGAGCGGAACTGATCTAAAAATCAGGCGTTTACTTTGACTGGATAATTTCTTATCGAAAATGATAGCGAATAACTGTGAGACACAGGAGAATACCGAACGGTGAATGACGAAATTTAGAAATTGTTCTCGAACTATATCAATTTTTTGAAGTAGTTAGTGTCAACCTGTCAAGTGTCAACGTCGTTGTCTCGTTACTCTTTTATCCTCGTCCTTCCCCATTGCCTTCCCCCAATCACAACTCAAAGAAAACATCAGAAGAAGACTCCACGATGTCAAATAGTCAAAGTTAACATAGAACCATCATAGAACACAAAATAATTCTACTGCTTATTTTTATTACTCATCAGCTGGAACTAGAGTTCCTAAATGTACTTGACACAATGACACTGCTCTGTCATCTGAGGCTCTGTCAAATAGATGAGCATTACATAGGAAATCAGATGGCTACAAGACGGAGGGGAAATCAAAAATATAGCTGTTATTAAATTTGTTACTGCCGTAGAAAAATAATATTGTATAACTGGCACGGAATGCTAATTTTCCATGCACGGAAATGATTGCAGCACTCGCCTTTCAGTCTCGTGGGAAATCACTGTCATTCTGTGCTCGTTAAACAATATATACTATACTATTACAAATCCACAATATTTGATGTCATGAGAAAAACTCAACAATGTGTTAATATATATAGGTACTTTATTATTATTTGTACAATAAAATCAATTTATATAAAATATAGGTAAATGTTTTGTAGTAATTATTGCCTGTAGAGATTAAAGTTTTGATTGTAAAGATGGTAAAAATATATATTGTTTAAAAACTTTAGTAACATTAATATATAAACGTTTAATGTATGTAACAGGAAGGCAACGATGCTGGATCACTCTAATAAATGTAAGCAACTAACTATATTACAAGAATAAATATAATAAGTATTTTTTGGCGAGACACCTTTGAATTATTTACAAAAAAATCAACATCTAGAACGAATTTTCCAAAAATGTTACAATAAAGCGCTTTCATGGTTACCAATTTTGTAAAACACCAAGCCTTAGTGAAATTTTTAACCAACTCAAGACCAACCGCCAGTCAACTTATGGAACAACTCTTCATTAAGCGTTTGACTCGCATCTTTAGACCTGGTGGACAAAAATATATAACCTCCAATAAACTCGTGAACAACTTTACAATCTGCCGACAAGCAACTAAAAACGATATTTTCGTCTTCAAACTGCACCATCATGTGCTGATTTTCCCAATTAACATTCCACGCTTTCATCGTGTTGAACCTCCAGGTCTTCTGGTGGTCGCCCGTGTTGATGTCCATTTTCATCACCCTGTTATAACCCACCCCTAGAAGCTCTTCTTTTTTCAAGTTCATGAACTTGATGACGAAGAGGGACACTCCGAAGTCGGGCAGCAGCTGCCAGGCTTTGATGTAGTTCATTTTGGCGTCGATCAGGCCCAAGTCTTTGACGTTGGCGTGGGCTTCCAGGATCCTTTGGGTGAGCTGAGAAAATTTGAGGAGTTATCAACTTTGGCGTTTTGGCAGAAAAAGTGGTCATGTGACACCTCATTTCAAGCGACTTTTGATTTGCTGTTCGACTATGTGGGCTATTCACAATTTTTGACAAAAGAAAACGAATAATTCATTTGATCAACTCTCTGCTTTTTGGGTGAGCTGAGAAAATATGGGGAGTTATCAACTCTGGCGTTCTGGCTGAAAAAGTGGTCATGTGACACCTCATTTCAAGCGACTTTTGATTTGCTGTTCGACTATGTGGGCTGTTCACAATTTTTGACAAAAGAAAAGGAATAATTCATTTGATCAACTCTCTGCTTTTTGGGTGAGCTGAGAAAATATGGGGAGTTATCAACTCTGGCGTTCTGGCTGAAAAAGTGGTCATGTGACACCTCATTTCAAGCGACTTTTGATTTGCTGTTCGACTATGTGGGCTGTTCACAATTTTTGACAAAAGAAAAGGAATAATTCATTTGATCAACTCTCTGCTTTTTGGGTGAGCTGAGAAAATATGGGGAGTTATCAACTCTGGCGTTCTGGCTGAAAAAGTGGTCATGTGACACCTCATTTCAAGCGACTTTTGATTTGCTGTTCGACTATGTGGGCTATTCACAATTTTGACAAAAGAAAACAAATAATTCATTTGATCAACTTTCTGCTTTTTGGGTGAGCTGAGAAAATATGGGGAGTTATCAACTCTGGCGTTCTGGCTGAAAAAGTGGTCATGTGACACCTCATTTCAAGCGACTTTTGATTTGATGTTCGACCACGTGGGCTATTCACAATTTTTGACAAAAGAAAACGACTAATTCATTTGATCAACTCTCTGCTTTTTGGGTGAGCTGAGAAAATATGGGGAGTTATCAACTCTGGCGTTCTGGCTGAAAAAGTGGTCATGTGACACCTCATTTCAAGCGACTTTTGATTTGCTGTTCGACTATGTGGGCTGTTCACAATTTTTGACAAAAGAAAAGGAATAATTCATTTGATCAACTCTCTGCTTTTTGGGTGAGCTGAGAAAATATGGGGAGTTATCAACTCTGGCGTTCTGGCTGAAAAAGTGGTCATGTGACACCTCATTTCAAGCGACTTTTGATTTGATGTTCGACCACGTGGGCTATTCACAATTTTTGACAAAAGAAAACGACTAATTCATTTGATCAACTCTCTGCTTTTTGGGTGAGCTGAGAAAATATGGGGAGTTATCAACTCTGGCGTTCTGGCTGAAAAAGTGGTCATGTGACACCTCATTTCAAGCGACTTTTGATTTGCTGTTCGACTATGTGGGCTGTTCACAATTTTTGACAAAAGAAAAGGATTAATTCATTTGATCAACTCTCTGCTTTTTGGGTGAGCTGAGAAAATATGGGGAGTTATCAACTCTGGCGTTCTGGCTGAAAAAGTGGTCATGTGACATCTCGCATTTCAAGCGACTTTTGATTTGCTGTTCGACTATGTGGGCTATTCACAATTTCTGACAAGAGGAAACGAATAATTCATTTGATCAACTCTCTACTTTTCGGGTGAGCTGAGAAAATATGGGGAGTTATCAACTTTGGCGTTCTGGCTGAAAAAGTGGTCATGTGATACCTCATTTCAAGCGACTTTTGATTTGCTGTTCGACTATGTGGGCTGTTCACAATTTCTGACAAAAGGAAACGAATAATTCATTTGATCAACTCTCTGCTTTTTGGGTGAGCTGAGAAAATATGGGGAGTTATCAACTTTGGCGTTTTGGCAGAAAAAGTGGTCATGTGACACCTCATTTCAAGCGACTTTTGATTTGCTGTTCGACTATGTGGGCTATTCACAATTTCTGACAAGAGGAAACGGATAATTCATTTTGATCAACTCTCTTTTTATCTTCTCCTCAACTGCGTGGACCATTTACAATTTCAAAGAAATGAGCGACGGGATGTCAATTTTTCAACTCTCTACTTGATGGTTAAAACTGGGTCATGTGGCATCTCATTTCAAACAACTTTTGATTTCCTAATCAATTATACTCGGTCGATTTATCAATTTATTTATCAATTCCAATCAACTCTCCAGATTCTGAGTGTGAATTGGTCGCGTGGCACCTCATTTCAAACAAATTTTGATTCCCTATTGACTAAAAATCAACAACTGAAAAAGTCTGTGAATTAGAAGATGATAAATAATCAATTTCATCAATCTTCATTTTGGTTTCAAGTTACAAATATCACAGCAAAAAAAATGAATTCTCTATTCAACGATATTCCCATTCATGGTTGATGTGTTTACTTCTTTTCAACTCCACAATTGCAAATTTCAACATATTCATGTGACACCTCATTTCAAACAACTTTTCGTTTCCTTTTCAACTATATGGTGCATTCACAGTTCCTAATGAATATGCGATGAATAGCTCATTTTTTTCAACTCTCTACTTGATAGTTGAAAGTGGGAAATGTAACCACTCATGTCAAACAATTTTCAATTCTCTATTCAACTGTTCGATGAGATTTTCGTTTGAATTTGTTGTTTGCTTTTTTCAACTCCATAGTTTCAAAGCTCTATACAGGCATGTGGCACCTCAAGCTGGTTTTCCATTCAACTATGTGGGCCATTTACAATTTGAATTGTTTTTTCAACCACTGAACATTTTTCTCCAATCGAATGAGCTGTTTTATTGCTTTTTTCAACTCTCCAGTATCAAATCTCAATATGGTCATGTAGCACCTCATTTCAAACGTCTCTGAATTGCCTATCTTTTCGTATAATCTATTTTCAGTTTGAAGCAATTTCAAAAAATTTATGCAACGATTGGACCTTACCTTTGCTCTGGACCTCTTCAGGTATTTCGGCGCGATGAAATCCTCAACTTGGATGTCCAAGGTGTTGGGATTGACGACGGGCTGCTCGGAGGGCTTTTGCAGGTTCAACAGGTCCAGAATCGTTTGTTTCTCAGACTCGTATGAACTGTCAGCTAGAGACCGTCCTTTGGCAGCCAATCGGCAACAGCCCATCCACCGAGCATATTGGGCCTCCTACAAAAAAAAACATGTATTCATATTGATGGATGTATTTTCTCATATGCTGATGATACATTGATGGAAATTCTTGGTCACAAGCTGTATCTAATGCAGAAAAAGCAATGGAAATAGTAAAAAATAACCTTGATTTTGACTTGTTAACTCTAAATTTGAATAAAACAACATTCATGATTTTTTCCTGTTATGATGATTCACAACCAAACCATATAACAGCAGAGTTGCTCTGAAAATGTATCCAAAATACCAGTCAGTTATTGTTCATGTACTAATAAAATATCTAAAGTGAAAGCAATCAAATATCTTGGTATATACATTGATATTCGATGACAAAATGTAGATTTTTCTTGATTCAATGAATAAATAAATAAATAAATAAATAAATAAATAAATAAATAAATAAATAAATAAATAAATAAATAAATAAATAAATAAATAAATAAATAAATAAATAAATAAATAAATAAATAAATAAATAAATAAATAAATAAATAAATAAATAAATAAATAAATAAATAAATATATAAATAAATAAATAAATAAATAAATAAATAAATAAATAAATAAATAAATAAATAAATAGCCTCTTCTAAATTATATTGTCATATGAAATAATCGGATGGGGTGGTATGAATGAAACTGGTCTAAAATCCCATTAAAATTGAATATTTGAATATTAAATACTTTGGAAAATAGGTTGAAAGTTGGTTTATAGGAAATGCAAAAAAAGTCAATGTCCTTTTTTAATCAATTTTTTTTTCTTCTTTTCAATTCTATTTTTGTTTTAGTGTGAATTCATAAATAATATTCAATTTGACTATTTACATTGTGAAAAACATTTTAATACATGAAAGAATTCATCTCTTTCACACACAAGTCACTAACCTATGTGAAGGAGGTACAACCTGAAAAACATATACCGGGTGTCCCAACTCGATTTATACACGTATTTTTTGGAAAACGGAAAACACTTTCAATGTCCTGAACAACCTGGCTCAAATAAAAAAGTGTGTTGCACAAAAATCAGTTCTTATTTTCTAAAATAGAAGCAGAAAGGACTAGAAAGTGATAAAAAATAAAGCAATGGTAATACTTGTGTAGCTCCAGTGATCTGGTAAAAGCAGTGGTAAAGGTAAAACCATTTCAAAAACAATATGAATTGATAAAACTTGTATTGAGTGCGTTCAGTTTAGTTCATCATCAATAATATTTAAGACTGATGCTTTTGTTCCGTGAAATATGAATTTGTTTGACAGTTGTTTAGCTTGATTTCCAATTTTTATCAAACTAAACTTACATCGTCACATCTTATGTACATTTCGGACATTCCTTCAGGACTAGGCACCTCCAGTTTGATGACGTATTTGTTCTGGGTGATGTTGACATCAGGGGTGACTTCGCAGCCCTTCAAGTTAATGTTGAAAACGGGGTTATGGCCGTGCACCATTTCCTCTCGGCTTTTGTACATGTAGAGGTGGAGGTCTCGGCATGTGAACCAGTATTTTTTGTAGGCTTTCAAAGTGAACCTCTTTGGCCTGAAAAATAAAAGCGTTATATATAAATTTTACTACAACCATCTATGAGATCAGCGTATAGCTTGCTCAGAAAGTACCTATCTGATATCACCATAGCAATGCGAAAGTGAAAACGAAAATAAAACCAGTAAAATCACCATAAAAATTTCAAAAAAACTGAGATTGAAGGGTGTAGTCATAATAAGGGGAATTTTGAAAGTTTTTTCTAGTCTTCGACTCATAATAATTTTCAAAATATCCATGCGCTCGAAAAAAGTTCCGGAAATAATTTGACCTCCTAGTGGTATTACAAGTGAAAATTCAACAGGAAATATGATTTTTATGGCCAGTATTTCATATTTAGTGAACAAGTCTGGAACAAGCATACCATGACGGCCATTTAATCAATAGTCAATCCATAATCCAAATACGAGATGTCAAATGTCAACAGATATTGCTTTTGAATGACATTACATATGCCCAGGATGAACAGAAGATGGTGTAGAAACTCCTATCAAATCCCATCTACTGTTTTTCAGTCAAAGTTCTTGACCTACGGCCTACTTGACAAAAGGATTCTTTTCAAGATCGCGAAATATTGGTCGAATTTCACCCGTTAGATGGCCAAATCTCAACCAAATTCAATTTAATATCATTCGATTTGAGGTTAAGTGATGAATGTTATGATATTATTACTGGTGCAAGTGGTGTGTAAGCGCCGTTTTCTGTTTTCTGTCTGAAAGAAATCTGTAAAAAGTGTCGCCATCTTGCGGACAACTGAGAACTAATATGCCACTATTGTGGAATCGTCGGTCAAGCATTTTGGGAGAAACAAAATACTGTCTGTGATTTCACCATATTCTATCCAACTTATTGCACACGCCATTATTTTAAATGATATTCTTCCTTCTTTACACTAATTATTAATATGGTAAAATCACAAGAAAATCATATTTCTAGTTGACTCATATAATAGAAAAAAATGTGTTGTACATTATTGTGATATATATAAATTGTCCAATGATGAAAAAGAAGGGCAAATTGTTCTAAATGCGATCTAGAAGATAGGCGGAAAAGAAGGTGAAATTTGTAAATTTATAGTGAAATATCCTAATAAATAATGATTTGTTCACATTTTCATTATCAAATTCCTGTTTTTCAGACAAAAATACATAAGTACCAAAAAAATTTCGAAAAAAAAACAATTACATGATAAATGCAGTTTTGTTTTACTGATAATGTTTCTAGCTTACTTCAAAAACCTCAGTTGATCCTTCAGTTCAGGCACTTGTGTGATGTCATTCGAATTGGTAGAAATACTGGAGCCTTCCAAAGTTGTTTGTAGGTTATTGAGGGCAGCATCTATATCATCATCGATTGGGGATGGGGTGCTACCATTATTCTCCAACATAGGCTGAGGTCTACTTGCTTCTAACTTCACTTGCAACTGGAATAATAATTTTGGGTATTTTCAAGGAAATGTACAAATTGGTGACTTATTGTTTACCTGTAAAGCAGCAAACATCAACATTTCTTCTTCTGTGCAGTCAATCTCTTCATTCAACAACTGCCATTTGGCTTGCTCATAAATTTGATTGATTCGGATGGCATCATATTTTGGATTCAAGTCATAGAAAACGAAAAATTTAAACCTCAGACAAAGTGTATCATGTTCTCTCACTCCCTGCTCCATTATAGATAAAGAGGAGTCCAACCATCTACAAAAAAAACAAGAATGAGCAAAATCACCATCAACAGGCAATAACTGTACAGCTGTTTGAAATTCAGTAGATTTAGTATTATTTTTGCCACTTTCATGTAGTTGAAGATTCCTCATTTCCCAAAATGAAGCTCCTGATGTTTACTATGCTGAATTTTTGTAATAAAGAATGGTACTAACCCTACATTCATTCTGGCTTTTTCTACTAGAGATTTGGGCCTGACAAGGTGTCTTTTAGCCTCTGGACTTGGAGTAGGCGGACTTTGTGCTAATGTGCTGTCCAGAGTACCATTCAATTCGTCCAGACTGAGACTGCTTGTGATGTTTCCTGAATAGTTCAAACTGCCGTTCAGGTCGTTTCCATATCCGTTTCTCTTCCAAGTGCCCTGAGAGATAAGAAATGGGTAAGTAGTATATCTATTATTAGTGTGCAGATTGTGGTAGTTATGCCACTACCTACCTATATATCCACAGCCATAGAATTAAATTATTATAACACAACAACAACAAGGAATATAGAAACGAACATACTATGTTGTTATTGTTGTTTTCTCAATGAGGAATGCCCATTGTGGTTGACACTGTTGACATTTGGCAGAACGACAATAACGTCAATAAAAACCGCCATATCCGAAATGGCCAATCAGAATTTTGTTTGGGAACTATGGCGAATGAGACTTCACCTTCCGATTACCCAATCAAATTTTGGATCTAAAAACGAGCGCATGCGTCTTAAAAATATATCTAAATGAAAAGGCCTATTAACAGCTTGAAAATTCGTCGATTCACTAATATTGGAATATTAATTGGTAATATTCAAAATTAAATTTTCATTTTCAAGGTCTCTTGTTGTTTTCAATGTTTTATTGTATTTTTTGTAAACCACAAATGTCATTGCATCTAGCATCCAACGTAAAGAAGAAGAAATTTTGTTATGTTCGATAACGGAGAAGAGTGAAAAATTGAAGAAGAAAAAGAAGAGAAGGAGGAACAAAAGTTAATAATGGCAAAGTGTCATTTGGCGATTGTCTCAAAGTTGTAATATTTTATTTTATTTTCAAAAATACTTTTTGTCGTTGATGGAATCGTTAAGTTATTCAAGATTTCGACTTTTGGTTTTGTTTCAAAGTGTTTTGATTCCATTTGAGTGGCAGGTAATTGAAACGTTATTTCAAATATCCTGAACAATTTTCAATCCCTGATATCTTGTTATCCATTTTAGTTAACATGACTTGAAGTTGTGAAGTTCCAATCAAAGGTGTTTCAACAGCAGTTTTAGTTTGGTACCTTGAAAGCTTCGACTACCTTCTTGGATCATGGAAGAATCTGAGATGTTTATAGGAATTATAAACATCTCAGAAGGATCCCTATTCACCAAGAAACCATGGCAAGGTTAGTAATAAATAAGTTATCAATGTCAATGCTGTGGATTTCCATCATGATATGGTTGACCACCATAATGGAAAAACCCTGCTGAAAACCTCTTACTTACGTTTCCTGCGGGACTATTGATGGGCGTGGAACTGGCGGGGGCTCTCGAGGGGGTAACAGGGGCGCACATGAAAGGGGAGTTGTCCAAACTGCCTGTACTTCCACCAGGACTGCTGTTTGCTATGAAGGTGTTGGTGTCATTGGCGCAGATGTGGCCGTTTTTGTGCACCCCATTGTGCTCCTGCTTCTTCTTCGGCATGTCTTTGTAGTTGTATTTCAGGTGGTTGTGGTCCAAGGGCTTGCAGAATGACAGTTCTTCAGGGTGCCTGATTCGCAAATCTTTGCACACTTGGGTTACACTTGAGAAAGTCTTTATGGAAAAATCCACTCTCATCTCCAGATACCTTCAAGAAAACAATAAAAAATGCAGATTTAGAAAAATTTCATTTACTAAGGTTGATGTGTAAGTCATGATTTGGAATCAATATTCCAGGTTAATATTCATAACAAAAGGTACCCCATTAGTATGTTCATGTTGTATTTATTAGTATCAGTATAATAAATTAAGATGAAATTGCAAGATTGATCAATATCACTACTTTCTAAATTGAAATGAATACATATATGTATTTTAAATCGCAAAATCTCATTGAAATCTAAGAATTCTTCAAGGAGAAATCAAAGGTATATTTCTTTATTTATTGAGAATTTTAATCTATAGGTACATTGTGTGCAGACTTTGTCATTTTTTTTGCTACAGCAGGGTCTGAAGGACTACAAGAGAGTCTTTAGTGACCTTCCAAAGTTTGAATTGAGGTAAATTGTATTGACTATATAATATACAGAGTAATAACTCACGGTTGATAGTTGGTTAGACGTTTATGGAGAAGGCAAATCAGGATTTTTCTGAAAATTTCCCATCTTACATTAGATGATAAAATGTTGTTCTATGGATCTAAAATATTTTCGAAATTGCGACGTTGCCGCTTCTATCAAAAAGTCCTAGCAACTTCATTTTTTTAAATGGAACACAATACTCTTGTTGATAAATCCCTTTACCTATATCTATCGGTTTTCAAGATAAAAAATAATTTGTGTTAAATATGATCCAAAACATATCCCTAATTGAACTTGAGTAAATCACTATATTTTTCTTAAAATCTCAACACCCCATAGCTTTTTTTTCCCAAGATAAGCTAAGGAACCATGCATATCCTATATTTTATGATGATATGATATCAGAATCATCATAGGATTAATAGTATCATTCCTGAAATTCCCTTGAAAAAACCGTCAATCGGAGTCAATTCCGGAGATCCAGGTGGCTAGAATTTCAGTCTTGAACCTGATGTGAGTTCTCAATAGTTTTTAGTAGGTACCTACATAAGTTTCTTACCTGAGATCAGGGAGTTGCACCCTGAGAATTTTGTGCATGGGGGTGAAATGTAACAAGGCGTCTGCATGGACACCACACTGATCCAAGGTAGATCGCGTTCTCGTCAACCAAACGTTTTGTTCTGGCCACCAGAGGGCATGGTCTGACCAGTCCATGGAGATTTCTAGAAGAAATAGAAGAAATAAATAGTAGTTTGAAAAACTAAGAAACATTCTTTTAAAGCTAGCCAAACCAAAAAGAAGTAGAAAATAAAATAATAAAAGTGATTTTATATTTCTTGAAAGTACCCAATTTTGACGACAGAATCATATCCTCCTATCCCGACAACCCCCAGATACTAATTTTTAATAGACTCGGAACATCATAATTACAAAACTCGTCCGCCATATTGGATCCATCATCTTGAATATTTCAATTTTGGCAAAATAATCATAATCTCCAACTCCAAAAACCCCCAAACACAAATTTTGATAACCTCTGGTAGAAGAACATAAAATATTTCATATTTCATAATTCCATAACTTTAATGTTTTCATACAGAACAATCCTTTCTGTGGTCATGGGTTGGTATCCCTGACTGTCATTGTCGGTCTCTTGTCAGTTGTCTGTGCTACATTGACATCTGTCAATATACCTGTCAGTGTCTGTTAAGTCATGGCATGGGATTTTCGTCCTCCTTTACTTGCTGATTGCTACTCAAGTGGTCAAAATGGCAGTCAATTTCAATTTTTTCTTCATTATTTTACTCCGGTGGCCCTAATGCTATAGGACCGGCTCGTGTTTGACCCACCATAAACCATAATGCAGGGTTTTATAAAAATGTTTTCCCTTCAAATTTTAAAAAACAAAATAATTTTTAATAATGTTCTGATACTACATGTGTAACTTCATTCATTTTCAATGTATTGCAGATATTTTTTTTCATTCATGTAAGCTATTGTATGGTAAGATTTTCACTTTACACTCATTTTTGTCTCTTGTAGGACTAATTTCTAATAGGCTGATGATGTTATATGTATGTCCGAAAACATGTTTCCCCTGATGTGACTTATTCACATAGTAAACTGTCGTTGAAATGATTTCGAGTTTTATTTAGTAATTACAAATTTTGAGGAGAATCGGATCATAATTACAAAACTCGTCAGCCATATTGGAGCCGCCATTTCCTTTTGTCCTACAAAAATTTCATGATGCATTGCCACCCGAACTATGTACATCTGCCATATTTCAAATCAATCGGTCCGTTTAAAGTGGGTCAAAATTGAGTCCAAAGTAGTCCAAAGAGTGTTAACAAATATGAGTAGATTTGGGTAATCTCAATAATTTTCATGGGGATGAGTTGGGCAGTCTCAAAAGAGTTTAATTTTATAACAATAGCTGCCTGATTCTTCACTTTAGTAATCGGAAATTCAAAAAATAAAACCTTTGAAATTGTACACAGCCCCTGGTATGATATTTTGTTACATATGACATTGTATGATTAGTAACTCAAGAGCATTGGATATACAAATAAGCATCATTGATGAATTAATTATGTTTGCATGTTGCATGAAATGAAAAACAAGTCGAAGGATAACATAAACATCATTAACATTTTTTTTCTTTAATGCAGCAGCGGCTGATTGATTTTGTTTATTTAAATATTGATCGGATCAGTGCTGTGAAAAAATTGTAGTCAATGACCAACCATCAAAGATTACTGCTATCTGCTATTAATAACTTAGGTAGTTTAAATCCCTTTTATCAGTTATTTCAATTGCCTAGTTCATAATATAAATACAGAATAAATAAGCGAAAATAATTATGATAATATACAGGGGGTCGTTCTGATTTGGTCAGATTACATCAAAACATTCAAAAAATTTTGAATAATTTATTGCACGATTCCCAATAAATTGACCTTCACTGATTTGCCGTACTTATACAGGGTGATTTACTACTTGATCATTATTGAATAACGCGAAGGAAGTTTGAGTCATCCTCAAATTCCGTTTTTTTTTGTTTATGGTGTCAAACAAAAACAAATTAGCAGATGCCATTTGGAAAAGTTGAGTTCTCGACAATTTTTCAATACGACATTTGAAAATTTCCCGCGCCCATATATGGTACAAGATGGGAAAACTTCTAATGTGTGTCCTACGTAAATCACAATGTCATACTATATGTTGCCATTTTATGTTGATATTATATTATCTAATTCAATATGCATAATATTTTAAGCTTTATCTTTTTTCCAATATTTCCTGGCAAATACAGTCGGGAGTGGGACAGAACAAAAACACGACTGCTCTTAAATAGAACCAAGGCCAATGCGATAAAAGTGGACTGGTCTTCGGGGGGAACTAAAAAACTTCGCAACTGGTTCATTTTCTATCGATTGGATGACGCTGCTGCATCAATTCTTTTGGCGACCCAGTTCTACCTCAATCTCGCGTTTTTATGCCAACATTTTCGTTATAGTTAGCCCAACCCTTTTTTTTTCAGAAATATACATGAAAAATAAAATCCAGGTACATAAATTAACGTTAATCTCTACAGAGGTGTATTAATGAACCTCAGAGCTAATTAAAACGAAATAATTTGACCTCTACTACTCGGAATACGTTAGCTATCATACTTCAGTGGGCCAGTATAAGCGAGCCGATGACATGTCGTGTTCTTAAGAATTTCGTAAATATGTTATAGTTTGTGGAGTTTTTTCAAATTCTGTAGTGGAGATATGTGAGTAACCAGAGGTATTGTTGTACAGTACATTGTCGAACATGTCGCTATATTGATAGACGGAGTTGTCATTTATTATAGATAGTTGACAGCATCAATGTTCGACATTTTCTCTGAGGACGAGTGTACATACTTGTGTGCATTTTCTTCTGCCTTATTCTGCACATTTCGTCGTATCGTATTATTGGTTGAATCGATTCTATCGACCTATCGATATCGAATACAGTTAGTTATCTGTCGGTTTTCTAAGAATGTCCTGTTTAGTTTGATCTCCATGGATGTTTATTGGTTTGAATCATTACTATGAATAGAACGTTCTCTCTGTTGGTGCATAATCTGTTAATTGACTGCAAACAGAAAAACAAACAGACACATTATACAATCGCTCCTATTCAGTCGTAAATGAATGGAATTTTAAACAGCTCAAGAATTATTCTAATTCCAATTCTTGTCACTCGAATTCTTGACTTTGATTTCTATCGTGATAAAATAACGAATTTTTTTCTCATTTGTTCTGAATGAGACTAACCCTTTTAATTTTATCGATGAAATAAGAAATCTATATCGACGAGAGAAACACTACCCACGATGGCATAATTGCCCATACTTGGTTCTCATGCTTTACAATCGGTGAATGTCTTGTTCAACGAGACATTAATATCCGCCTTCTCGATTTTGCTGTGACGCATATAGGCAACCATATGCGGTGAAGAAGTCGTCATTGATAACAAAAAAACGAACGACTACCTATTATTTTTTATTCAACTTATACTTGATATTGTGTATGCTTGAATCATAATGAATGAGATGTGAAATCCGGTGAAATCTATGGTACATTTTTCCATAGTAATTAGTGTACTCGCCATACCTATTACCGCATCATTTTCGTTATTACTTATCGTTTGTTTACTTTTGAAATCTCGTGGTAAATATTTTGTGAAAATCGCCAGCGTACTTTTATCGTCTTGTTATTCATTTCTGCATGCAAAAGATAACGTTATCGGAGGAGATTAACAAAATGTAGGTAGTTTGTTCTTTGAATTGAAGATCTTGAACTCAAAAGAATTTTATAAAACACCCCTCAATCATTGATCAAATCTCCCAAAATTCAAACTCAAATTCTCGCTCGAATTACAGAGTCTAGAACCAGAGCCATTTCCGGTGAAACCAGAAGTAACCGGAAAGTCAAAAATATGTGAAAACTCTCCTCTTCACATACCATTTACCTATACCAAATCTCATTTTGATACACCTAATGGTCTAGTAGAAGTTATGACTTGTCTAATAGATTCGTTGACACCCGGTATGTACACTGTACACCCCAATCGAGGCGAGCGTAGGAAGATGGGAAGAAACGCCACCTGGTGGCGAAAATGCAACTAGATAATCATTCAACAAAATATTTGTTTGTTATAATGTACCTGTGGGTTCTGTTCAACAAAATAATCTGTTTGAAATTACATATTTCTTGATAATGATGTGTTGAATCAACAAAATATATTATTGTTATAATCAATTCATTTTTGTCGAATCGAAAAAATCCTTTGATTGGTTGCACAATGAAATTATTGTTGAATCAATTATGTTGTACTTAGTCGGATCCATATGATTGATTGAATAATGAGATGATAATTGGATCAACAAAATTTGTTTAGTCAACTATAAATATTGTTGAATGAAATGAAACTTTTGTTCAAGTAAGCAAATATTTCAATCAAATTATTTTATCTTTTTGAATAAGTTGCTTATTTGGAATGAACATATATATTATTGATTTTGCAAAATTGTGTTTAATTTAACAAAAAAATTATTTAGTTGGTGCAACAAAAGTACTTTTTCCGTGGCATGTATAATCTATAAGGGTATATCAAATAAAGTATAATGCAGGTCCCCTCATATCATTCCATGGACATATCCATTCATTGGCAGCACGGCAGCACGTGGCTAGGAAATAATATTTTCATTGTTGTTTACGGTTTTGGTATCGTTGGTTTGTATCGATCACCAACGCATTCGTTTCGGCTTATTATATTCTACTGCGAACAATAATTTATAATTCGATATGGGGGAACGCGACTGCGAAATAGCTATTCGTCAAATGTCAGGTGATTGGAAATTGGAACCCACCAAACGCAGTTGGCTTTGGACAGGATAATACAGAAGGAATGGGCAAGGGCAGCGTTGCCAGCCCAGCAACTCAAAATGTACCTACTAAAACATCACCAAAAAAATTTTTTTTGTTTTTATGTTCTGGTTTTCACGAAAAGGGACATCCTGTAGTGTTCAGAGAACATCGTGAGAAACAAGGGAAATAAGGTAGGAATTGGTGGTCTTAAATTTCTGGAGGTTATATGCCTCGGAGAACACCTCCCTTGGTAATGTGTTCCAGAGCCTCGCTGTTCGTTGGATGAACGAGTCTTTGGAAAGAGATGTTCTGCAGGT